CCGTGTTACATTGTTACATTCCTAAGCTACTCCGGGGTCTGGGATGTAGCACCACCCCTCCTGCCGGGGCTCCCTGTCTCCCACCTAGGGGCTTCCGCTGGTTACAACTGACAACCCCCAAAGTCAAGTACCCTACCCCTGACCCCTTGAGAACCAGACCCCCCATTCTCGAGGCCAGCTTCTCGCTGCACATGTGCAAACCCTGCCCAGCATTGCCAGGGCTCAGCCTTCTGCTTAAACTTGCAATTGGCCTGTGTGTGAGCAGGACCATGCGCTCCGGCCGGGCTGGCCTTCCCCAGGCCTCTGCTTGGAACAGCAGCTGCGGCTGCGGCGAGCAATGGTGCTGGCCAGCCCAGGCCGCTGTGCGGGAGCCACGCACACCCGCTGTTCACCCGCGCGGCCAGGCCAGATGGTTACCTGGCTCCTGCTGCAGGGCCTGCGGCAACTTGGACGGGTGTGATGGCACATCCCCTCTTGCTGGGCTCTGGCAGGTGCCGGTGGCACCGGCTAGATTTCAGCGTCTGATGTGGAACATGAGCCTCTGACAGCAGCAGGCTTTGGACGGCTTTGCACCGGGGCCTTTGCTTTCCCTAGAAAGGGGCAGAAAACCGCCTCCTGCCAGTCCTCCTCCCCAAGCCTGTCATGCCTGTTTCTTCTCTTGTCCTGAGCTAGGACCAACCTGGCCTTGTCATTTCTGAGACAAGTGACAAAAACTGCTTCTCCACTTGGCACAACCTAGACTTTCCCACCGCCCACTGGCTTCAAGGCTCAGGCAGCCGGAGGACGCCGTGAGCAGCTCACCAGACTCCAGTCCTGGGGCCCAGGCCCCGCCACCGAAGGCCAGGGTGCTGCCCGCAGGCTCAGAAAGAGCCTGGAGACAGGTGGTGCGGCTGCCCCAGGCGGCGGTGGCTGAAGCACCGCCAGTCCACTCCTCCCAGTCCACTCTCCGGGCTGTCCCAAAGCCCCTGTGCGGAGGACAGCTCACACAGCATTGTTTGCAAAGCCCTGGCTAAGGCCGCTTGTCTTTAACTCTGCGTCAGCCTCCCAAGTCTCTGCCAGGGGCAGTGCGGGGTTCAGCTGCTGCCTGTCAAGTGCAGGCAGGTGGGGACAGGGCCTGGTGCTCAGTGACAAGGGTCAGGGCCATACCTGATCTCATTAGTGAAGCACAAAAAGACCTCTGTGCTTGGGCCAGAAAATAGTGGAATTGTCTTTGACAAAGTCTAGCACTAGCTCTGTCCCTAGGAGGGAGCTCAGTCAACCTGGGAAGCTGTTGTGATCTTACTCTGCTCCCTTATCCATGATTCATGCTTGACGTGGCTGCAGGACATGTCCCCAGAGCTTGTCCCCAGAGCTTCTCAAGTTAGACTTCCATTACAGAGCCCTGCTGTAAGGCCGCCAAATGGATGTAGCCTGTCAGCACCCAAAACCAAGTTCTACAAACTTCTCCCCTTGGTCAGCTGGCAACAGAGGGCTGAGTCCCACTTCCAATCTAATTTCTAGCAAATGGGAGAAGAGTGGAGAGAGGCCTGACCCCACCTACCACACCCCCTCGGCCCCACCTCCGCACCGCTGTTTTGGAGCGTGGACTGTCGGCCTCCTCCAAATATGTGACTTCGCCTTGACTTCTGTCCACTTCCTTTCAGCCCTGGGCGTGATTCCTGGTAGAAGGAAGGCTGTTCCCACACGCTCCTGTTGGATTTCCACTTGCCCGCTTCGGGCCTCACCCAGGGGCCGGAGGTTCGGCTGCACAGGCTCAGGGTCTCGGCAACCAGAAGATCCCCCCTGGGTACGGCACCAGCTCCCAGGCCTTTCAGCAGTCAGAGGCCAGCAGCCCAGCAGGCGAGGAGCTTAGCTGCCTACGTGAGGAGCAGGCCTACACCAACTAGCAGCTCGCCCTAGTCACTCCCCAAACAACCAAGCGAGCAAACCGCCGCTTTGCACAGAGCAGCCTGGGGCAGGCGGGTGGGCTGGCGCCAGGTGAAGGCCACAGCCCTGCTCTGTGGCCCAAGACGACACCCTCCGTCCCAAGCAGCAGCGTGAACTGGGCTCACAGTGAAGAAATCGCATTTTCATCGGCTGTTTCTGGGGAGCCGAGGCCCAAGACCTCAGAGCTGTTAGGCAAGGGCGGCCCGGGGCGCCAACGTGTGCCGTCTGCAGCCACAGCTCCCCAACAGCAGCTCAGCACGCAGGGCGGATGGGTGGTCCCTCAAACACTTGGCACTGATGAACTGCCTTTGTTGAAAAGAACAAAGCAGAGGCAAATCGGGAGAGTCCCAGAAAGGCCGGGTCTGCAGGGCCGGGCCAGGCAGGGTGCCGCTGCGGGGTGAGGGCTGCACCCCGCCAGGCTGCAGGACGCTGCCTCCGCCTCCAGGAGGCCGCTCGTGCCGGACCTCCCCGCCTGGCCAGGCCACTGGCTTTCCAGGTTCCTCCTGAGGGCGGCCAGGAGCCCCGGGGTGTGAGCAAGATGACCCCAGGCCGCTGCCGCCTCCGCCTGGCAGGATGGAGAGCGAGGTCACGCCCCATTTCCCAGGAAACCGCTGATGCCTTTTCAGAGCTGGTCTCTCCCGTGGGCTGAGGGCACCAGGGAAGGACGCTGCCTGGACCCTTACCTACCACGTTCAGCGCCAGAGCGATTTTCCGGTTAAGTGCTAGTCCACAGGCAGCTCTCCGGAAGCGGCTCAGGCCTCCCTCTTCACCCACCCCGAGCCGCCCGCCCGCCAGCACGGAGGTGGAGGCCGGCCCGGGACCTGCGCTCACGGTCCAGGCCCACACCCCGGGGCCCAGGCCCGACACCTGGGCGCCAACACCAGCCCTCCTCTCCCAGGTTGCGCGTGCTGCCAAGCAAGGTGGGGTCCCAAGCTGCGGCCCCCACCTGGCGCCGACCCGGGCCCTGCCATTCCCACCGTGCGGCCCCACCTGCCTGCGGCTCCCAGCCTGCGGTGTGGGTTCTAGTTTAGTGGCCCTGAGATGGTAACAAGCAGCATCCACGACCGCCCACGCGCCGGGAGGTAGGGACGTGCCCGTGAAGGCGCATTCACCCACAACCTGGGATCACTTGGCGGTCCTGCGTGGGGAGAGCAGCAGCGACCCCTGGGGCGAGCCCTCGGGACAGCACAGTGCTGAGGGTTGGAGCGGGTGTTTCTCGTCCTGTGCCCCCAGTACAGGCTTGCGGTATGCCCACAGGCAAGCGTCCGGGCCGCTCACCGGCCGGAGATGAGACTCGCTCGCCAGCCCAGAGCAGCTCGGCGGAGCCCGCCCCGGTTCCGAGTCACCGGCTGCTAGGACAGTGCCAGGCGTGGAGCAGGCTGCACCCACAGACATGCCTGAACCTCTCGGGGGGAGCCCCCGAGCGGGAGGCTGGGAAAGCAGGCGCCCCTGGAGTCACGTCCTCGATGCGCAGCTTCCCCCCGAAACGCCGCAAACAGACCTTTACGCCCAAACTCACCACTTGTTGGGGGCGCGGGAGTGCCGTGCACTGTGTACTCGCTCACGCGTGGCAGCAGCCCTGCAGGCGTCCTGTGGCGGCTGCGTGTGGCCGCCTCGGGAGGGGAAGCCGAGAGCCGGTCCGCAGAGGTGGTCTCTGGGCTGTGCCCTCCGGCCCTGAGCCCAGCGACGCTGCGTCAAAGGGAAGAACAGGAAACTGGGGAGGCAGCTGCCAGCTGGCAGACGCCCTTGGCAGGCTCGCGAAAGGAGCTGAGCGCATGGGCCACGTGGCCACCAGATGGCCGGACCCTGGCGGTGACCAGGCCCCCGGCGACGGCCACCAAGCCCAGGGCGCGTCAGGAGGTCCCGGGGCCCTGGACAGGCCAGCTCGGCAAGTTCCACCCCGCCACAGCCACCAAGCCAGACGACCACCTCGTCCCCACCACAGCCCGTCCCCTAGGCAGGTGACCGCTGGGAGCAGCTTACCTGGGCCGTCACCTCCCGCGGGGCCCGGCACAGGCGCCCGTCCCCTCCTGCGGGGAGCCGGCCGAGCACTGCAGCGCCAGGCCAGCCGAGGGCTCGCGGCCGCCGTCTGTCCACGAGCAGTCGTGACACCGTCCTGCCCGCAGGGAGCAAGGGGCCGCTTGTCCTGACTTTGCTGCCTAGGACTGGGATGAATTCCGACACTTCTGCGGGGGGGGACATTAGACACTTTAGCGGAGACAAACAGAAGGGGCTGGGGCGGGCCCCCTGCTGCTCCCCATCCAGCCTCGCGCTGCCCACGCCGGCCACCCGGGCGCTCAGGAACAGACAGGAGCCAGGTGCGTTAGTAAACCCCGTTCTTTTTTATTAGAGGTAAAAACAGCAAGTTCCACGTTGCATACCCCACGGGGAAACCGGGCGGGCGCCCGAGTGTGGACTATTTACAAGAGCTGCGGCGGCGCGGGCCGGGGTCAGTGGCACAGGGCCATGGTCTCCACGTTGAGGAAGCGCACGTGCATCTTGGTCTCGATGTCGATGCCCTGCCAGATCTGGAACAGACGCGGTGCGTCAGGGCGCCGGCCCGCCTCCCCGGCCCCAGAGGCGTCCGGGGAAACACTTCCGTCTGCCTCTCTGCGGTTAACTTGGCGCTGGCATTTGGGTTCTTTCTGAGATGGTCACAGCGCGTTGTTGCTAAGTGCCGAGTCCAAGCGCCCCCAAGTCATCCGACTCCCGCCCACCACTTCAGGCTCAGATTTCCGTGCCGATTCCTTAGCCCCGTCAGCCTCCTTCTCACCCTTAGAACAGGGAATGTGAGACCCCCACTGTGCCGCCCCTTCTCAGAACTGGGGGGCTCCGGTGGAAGGGCCCCGCCAGGCATGCTGTCAGCCGAGGCAGCCACAGCCCCCAGGCCGCCGCTGCCCCTAAGGCGGCCCGGCACTGGTCTTTGCAGCCTCGGACAGGCGGTCGCCGGGTCGGGAGCCCGGCCCAAGCCCAGGGAAGGTCCTTTCTCTCCAGAAATCGGGTCCATGCCGCCCCCGGAGCTGGCGCTGCTATGGGGGCCCCTGGCCGGGCCCTGGGCACCCAGAACATCTCACACTACGGAGTCCCTCACGCCCACCTGTTCTGTGGCCACTCGGGGCCCCAGACAGCCGGCAGAGGGTGCACACGGGATTGGGGGGGGGCACGGTGTCTCCCCGCTTATGTAAGCACTTCCAACCCACAAGCTGCCACCGGCAGCATCTCGGGACTGGAAGTGGGGTAAGTGGGACCCCCAGGCGCCCAGGCTCAGGCTGACCTTGGCTCCCCTCCGTCACTACAGGCCCGGGCCCAGCACCTGTCGTGGGTGCGGGGGACGCACAGAACAGACCTGGCCCCAGGAGACATTCCCAGGGAAAGACCCGCTGAAGGCCAGGTCGCCGCGCTGGGGGAAGCGAGGGGCGCTGGCCAGGATAACCCCGAGCCACAGGACAGGCTGGGGACCAGCCTACAGGGGAAGCCGCCCTTTCCTGCCCCGCCCGGGCACACGGGCCGCCCTGGGGGTGGAGGTGCCCACCCCGGCCCCACAGCCGCCCCGGTCTCCATCACGGCTCTGTGCCGCCAACCTGTTCCCGCCATCCCAGTTTCTGCTCCCCCCACATCTGCTCACGACGAGCCAGGGCGGTAGGGACCTGGAGGGGCGCCCCGCCCGGCTGCCCCTCAGGTCCTCGGTTTGTGACAGTCTGGGGTCGGCCGGCCAGCGGCTGGACCTGACCCCCAACTTCACCGGCAGCCAGAACTACGGGGATTCTTGGGGCTGGGCTGGGGTCAGCTCCCCGCCACAGGTGTTGAGCGACAGGTGGGCCCAGTTCCCGGCCCGGGAAGGCGCCGGCCAGATGCCAGTCTGCAGGGCTCGCGAGAGGCGCGGCGAGGACAGAACTCCACGCGGTGGCCCATGCGCGCGAGGCGGAGGGCGTTGGCAGAGTGCTGGGTCCAGCAGAAGGCGGGAAGCAGGGTCTGCCTGTCTGCCCTGTTGTGTGCAAGGCACAAGGCGCTTTGCACCTGACTGTCGCCCCTTTAATATAACAAAGCCAGTTTACACTGTCTAAAGGCCGAGCCAGATCTGACCCCTCTCAGGGGCGGCTCTGGGCCCCTGGGGTCCCCCTCAGCCTCAGCACAGACCAGGCACCCACCTTGAGGAAGTCATCGAAGGTGATCCCCTCGTACACCTGGTCAGGCTCCTGCGGACAGAGCACAGGCGGGTGAGTGGCTGCCCGGGCGTGTCCTGGGCCCCGGCGGAGGGCAGGGCTGTTGGGGAGGCGTCGTGGAAGGGGGGGCATCTGGACCGTGTGCCTCTAGCACCTGCCCAGCCACCCTGAACACCAAGGTCCCCTTGCTTGAGTGGGCTCCCCAGGCCCCACGGCAGCCCCCAGCGAGGACAGGCTGGGTGAAGGGCCCCTCCCCACGGGGCCGCCCCTCAAGCCACCATGGCCACCCTGGCCACAGCTGGTCCGGTCACAGCCTGATGCTGCCAGCGGCCTGCTGAGAACTCCTTTAGGCCAATCTCCGCTGCCAGGAGGGGACACTCGCCCGGTGAGTGACGCTAGTGGCCCTGGCAGGGCCCGCTCAGCTGCCTGCAGCTGGCCGTGCTGGCCACTACCCCGCTGTGGCACACAGGCGCAGGCAGGGCCCTTCCCAGCCTCACCCCGCCCGCCGCCCCTCCGTGACAGAGACGTCCCTGCCGGCCAGCCAGACGAGGCCTGGCCGCCCTGGCCGCAAGAAGGGCTCCGTCTTTTGTTTAACGATTTATTTATGCACAGAGTGAGAGGATCCGCCAGAGACAGAGCGGGGAGCAGAACAGGCCGACTGACGAAGCACACGGCTGCGGGGAGCAGCGGGCGGGCCAGGAGGGGTCTGCCGCGCCGTGTGGTCACCTCCGGGGCAGGCGGCTGCGGCTCTCACAGCGCTGTAACCCGCTGCGCCAGCAGGGAGTCCCCAGCAGGGGTCCCTCTTGGTGACTGGAAGGGGAGGGCCCTGAGGTACGGACAGCGGGGTGCTGGGGGAGACGAAGCCCCCACGCGGGCACGCCGTGGCGCCTCCTGCACAGGGGCCGGCACCCCCTGCCCCTGTCTGGGAGTGAGCGGGGGCCTCACAGGAGGACAAGCAGGGCCCGTGTAAATCCAAACTAGAGGACAGGAGCCACACGGCACGGGGGCCCCCGGGCACTGGGGCTGACGGCAGGGCGTGCCTCAGTTTCTCCTGTCCTGGGTCCCTGAAGTCGATGCCCGCGCACGTCTCAGACGACAGAGTGTTGGGTGCCGAGGCCTGGCCGGAGCCTCCCAGGTGTCGACGTTCAGCACTGGCTGGCGCCACCTCGCACCAGCCCCTGTTCTTATGCCACTGCCCACACGAGGGGCCGAGGGGCCCGGGCCCGGCCGCAACGCCGGCTGCTGAAGCAGAGCTGGCTCGGAGCAGCTGCCCTCACCCCGGGGACACCCCCAGCTTCTCGGGCAAGCTGGGGAGAGCCACATGGACTCACTCACCAGAGTGAAGAAGCTGGAGTGGGGGCGCCTGGTCACAGGCCCCCAGGCCGAGAGCCCAGCAAAGGAGCAGCCACTCGAGCCACAGACGCTGGCCACAGACGCTGGCCAGAGTGAGCACTGGGCGGCAGCCGGCCCCGGCGGCAGGTGCGGGCAGGTCCACCCGAGGGCGGGGGGGCCCGCCCCTGCCATCCCTGGCAAGGGGCCCGGGCAGGACACTGCTGTCCTCCGAGGCCCCTGGCCCCGACCGACGCGGCCGCGCTCAGCCCGCCCGGCCCACTGTCCGTGGGGACGCCGGGCAGCAGCCTGCCCCGCACAGCACACGCCGGCCGGACGCAGCCCGAGGCCCCCCCGCAGCCGGCGATTCTGCTACAGAGAATTAGGAAACTGTGGCCAGTGGGGCTGAGCGGGACCGCGCGGGACGGCACCAGTAAGGCCGGGCCCCAGCCCGGGCCCCGCTCCCCAGCGGCCAGAAGCCCCCGGGCCAGTGAGAGGACCGCGGCCTCCGGCCCCACAGCTCGGGGCACCGACGGCAGCGCCGGACGGACGCAGACACTACACTGCGGTGCACCCCAAACCCCACGGAGGGGGCCGGGGCCGGGCTGTGCTTCCTGGGCCTGCACCCGCTTCCACAGCAGTGAAACGAGGCGCGCTCGCCTGTGGAGGGGCCGGCGGCTGGCAGGGAGCGATGGGGACACAGGCGGGTCCCCAACACCGGCTTCCCAGGCCTTGCCTCACAGCCCGGTGCTAGGCTGCGACTGAGCAGCCGACAGCGCCCACGGCCGGCACTGGCGCTTTGTGGGCGGAGGCCAGGGAAGCTGCCCACAGCCCGCAGTGCCCAGGATGGCTGGTCCACAGAGCGGCCAGCTCTGGGCGTCAGGGAGCCAATGGCGGGGCGCACCTGCTCTGCGAGCGCAAGTACCCCAGCAGCTGACACCCCAAACCAGCATGACCCAACGGACGGCCTCCCCATCGCACCCGCCTGCCCTTGGCCCAGAGCCGGGGGCGGGGGGGGGGTTGGGGAGGGGGTGCGGGGGGGAGGGGCTCCCGTCCTCCCTGAGGGCTCCGCTGCTCCCAGCTCCTCCCTTGGACCCGCCTAGCTAAGCCGGCCCAGAGAGCACCCCAACCCGGCCCGCCAGGGCCGGCCCCCATGCCCACCCTGCTGTGGCAGGCTCTGGGCAGGGCCTCCTGGCCCATCTCTGGGGAGCGAGAGGCCGGCCGGGCCGGTGAGGGCAGCACACGGGTCACACTGCCCTGCCCACCCTCTCGGGCCTTCCAGAGCAGGCGTGCAGGGCTTAGCCCCAGCGTAGTACTCACCATCTGCCCCACGCACACGCTGGCGGCCTCCATCATGGCCCCGTCGGCGATGGAGCGGGCAGACTCCTTCTCGATGTGGGGGTTCCCCGAGAGCAGCTCCTCCACCACCTGCAGGAGAGGCGGCCTGTCACCGGGGCCCCGGGCCCGGGGGCGGCGAGGGGCCCTGGCGGGCAGAGGAGCATACTTTACATTTCGGTATTCTTCCAGAGTGATGCGGCCGTCACTGTCGGAATCGTACATGTGGAACAGAACTGGGGGTGCAGAGGGGAGAGGGCCGTCAGGCAGGCTGGGAGGGGAGCGCGGGCCCTCGCCCATCCTTCCCCGCTAGTCAAGCTGGACAAAGAAAAAACCCCAACAGTGAAACCTAAATGCCAAAGCCACGGGCGTCAAGAACAAAGGCCTTAGGGCCGGACAGGCCACTCCTGCTGGTCCCCGCCAAGTGACCCTCTTCTCAGAGCCCAGGGACAGCCCGGCCCAGCGACGGCCAAGCCAGTGCTCTCCCAAAGGGAGGCCGCTGCCCAGGCCCACCCAGCTGAGCAGAGCCGCTCTCGCCAGGCTCAGCGGCTTCACCCTCCCAGGGACACCCACTGCGCCCTGTGCCAGCATCGCCCACAGCCCAGGCAAGGCCGGGAGCTCGGGGGACCTCTGGCCCGGCTCCCTCCAGCTCCCCCGCCCCTGTGTGTTGTCAAGCTGGCAGCAGTTTGCAGACCTGTCATCCTCTGGGCCTCCACCAGCCCACGAGGCCAGGGGCGCCCGAGCCCTAGCCTGGCACAGCCCAGTGAGGAAGCAGAAGTGTCTGCCTTCTGCACCCTGGCAAGGATGGGAAGCCGGGGGCCCCACCGGAGTCAGTATCCCAAGGCCTCTGCGGCCCCCCGACCTGGGTGAGGCACAGGGAGCTGCCCATCCCAGCCATGCCTGGACCCTGGGGTGTCGGAGGGCCTGGACGCCCAGCCGGAGGGAGGGAGGGCACACCGGGGCCCGAGGCCGCCGCCAGCCCATGAGCACCAGGCACACTGGGAGCCCAGGTCCCCCGCGACCCCGTGTCCCATGCGAGAGACAAGCTTTCAGGGGCACCCACGGGCCCGTCGGCCTGTGCCGCCTCACGGGGCCTGGGCGCCATTCCCACTGCTGGTTCAAGGTCCCGCGGCTGCTCAGCGGATACCTGTCTGCCTGGCCGGGCCTCGCTCTTCACCCCAAACCCCCTCTTCCCGGGGCCCCTGAGGGGCTCGCTAGGAGACCACCACGCTGCAACCCAGGGGCGCGAGGGCGCCAACGAGGCCCTTCCCGGGGGACCAGGGCGTGGCCTGCCCCCCTCCCCGGGGAAACACAGCCCCCTGGGGGGGGCACGCACATCTCAGCTTCTCCTTCCGACACAGCTCCACCTGCTCCTCGTCCATGGTGGTGTCAATGGGCCGGAAGTAGGACATGATGGTCAGGAAGTCTTCGAAGTTGATCTCGTCGGCCAGGCCGCTGGGCCCCCTGCGCAGGTTCCTAGGGGCGGCCAGGGGTGTCGGAAAGGAGGTGAAACCCGGTCTTGTCTGCTTGCGAGCAACTGCCCCCGGCCGGGCTTGTGCGCGGGCCTCTGCGCTGGCCTCCCGGGGCTCACCGAGGGGTGGCATGAGTTTGGGGGGCGGGAGGGGTAGAGCACAGCCGTTGATGAGGGCAGCACAGGGGTCAGTAAGCTGTGGCCCGAGGGCCAAGTCCCACCTGCCCGATTCTGTACGGCCCGTGAACTAAGAAGGGTTTTTAGATGGCTGAAGATGGGGCTGGGGTGAAATGCAAGAGAACAGCAGCTTCTTGCGAGCAGTAAAAATCACATGAAATTCCAACTCCGTCGTCCACCGTCTGTGGGCACAGTCCCGCCCAGCCGCCCCCACGCGGGCCTTCCTGTGAGGACCCCCACGCTGAGCGGGGACCACAGGGGCCAGCTGCAATGCGGGGGCCCATGCACCCCCACCCCACAGTGCCCAGATCGGGGTTTCAGGGATAAGTCAGGGCAGGGTTGAGGGCGGCCCCATCACTGCGCTTTCCTGAAGGGGCAAGACAGGGCCCCACCGCAGGAACGGGGCGGCCACCCCAAGCTGAACCCTGGCCGCCGGCTGCCCGACTCTGGCGGCCAGCGGGAGGGCATCAGGCTGTGTCCCCTGCCGGCTGAGGGCCAGCGCTGCTGACTACCTTGGCTGGCAGGACCAAGCTCGCAGCTCTCGCCCCAGGAACCCACCCTCTGAAGTACCAGCTGCCCCGAGTGCACCCCGCACTTGGGTTTACCGAGCTCCTGGCAGATGCTGACCTCAGAGCAGCCTCCAGGGAGAGGAGGCCGGACCAGGCAAGCGTCTGGAGCTGTGGGCTAGGAGGCACGGCCTTCACTCACCAGGAAGCCCTACGTCTGAGGGGGTCGTCTAACCCCTGAAAAACCCCGTCTTACAAAGTTCACACTGCTCCCGCCCCGCCCCACCTCCCACATATTTTTAATAATCTCCAAGTTCTTGTTTGCCAAGGGCACAGGCCAAATTTACAGGCATAAAAATAGCGCCTGGACTTATCAGGCGCCTCTGGGGCTACTTGCACGTCTGTCTCGTGTCCTCCCCCAAGTGTTTGGCTGGGGACCGGTTCAGATTAGCCCCGGGGGATGGCGACAGGGGCTCTGGGAAAGCAGGACGGAGCCCTTCTCAGGAAGGCCCAGCCCCAGGCTGCCTCTGTCAGGACTGGGGGAGGGGGCGCCCCTCCCGCCGCAACCCGCTGTGGCCCTGAGTCCAGACGCCGAGGAAGCCAGGACAGCACCTGGGGCCAGCGCCTGGGGCCAGCCCCACCTGCTCCCCACCCCGCGTCCGGGCTCGAGCCAGCACGGGGCAGAGCAGCCGCCCTCGGAAGCGATGCAAGCGCTGTCCACATGGAGCACGGCTGGCCCTGTGGCCTCTGTGGTCCAGCACGGGACCCCTCCTGGCCCGCCCGCTGCTCCCCCGCAGTGTACTTCTCTGCACCGGCCCGTTCTGCTCCCCACTCTGTCTCTGGGGAAGCCTCTCACCCCCCGCACCTCTGGCCTGCACCCCCGTTGTCTTATGCAAAAATAAAAACATGTAACAGCTGGAATGCAGACTACACCCCACCCTCACCTCAAAGCCCCTCAGCACCCCCCCACTGCTCCCAGACTGAGTCCTCCGGGCCCCCCGGGCTGCTGGGATGGGGCTGCCCTGCCCGCGCGTCTCGGTGCTGGGGCCGGGGGGCCCTGGCGCGTGCAGTTCTGCCTGAGGCACCTTCTCTCCCGCTTCAGCTGACCGGCTTCTGGTTCTGCCACACCTGTGCCCAGTCACACCCCTGCGAGCCCTGGAGGAAGGTTTCTGCATCTTCCTGGGGCAGCCCAAGGACCTCCTCTCTCACATCCCGCCCCCATCAGGGAGGCTCAATGTCTGTCTTGGGGTCGGGGCCCCCAGTCCTAGCAGAACCAAAGCTGGGCATTTCAGGCTCACGCAGCCGAAACACACCAGGGCCCCCCCCCCCACCCCTGCCTTCCTCCTCCTGTGGGTTCTCCCTAGGCCTCAGCCATCTCTGCGGACTCGGTGTTGAGCTGGGCCACGGGGGCCAGGAGAGCCCCTGGCCCTGCCGGTTGGCCCGCACGCGCTGGCAGCCAGGGGGGGTGAGCTCACCCCACCCTCAACAGCCTCAGATGGCTGTGTCCACCCAGGCAACATCAGCAACAGGCCCCGGGGAGGAGGAGCCTGGTTCTGCCCGGGGCGCCTGTCTGCGGCTCAGGCTCCCACCTGTAGGCCAGGGCTGTGGCCAGGAGCCAGCCCGTGCCTGGCACGCGCCATCTCAGGTACCCTGCACCACTGCGCAAGGTGGATGCCGAGGTGGCCCCGGCTTTATGGGTGAGCAAACAGGACGACCCCCACAAGACAGCCCCAAATCGCCGTGACGCCTGGTCTTCCCACCCCTATGCAGTCACCTCTCCAAGTGGGGAGCGGCCTAGGGGCTCGCTGCTAACACAGCACATGTGAAGGGGGACCCCTCCGCGATCAGATCACCCAGAGACGGTGGCCTCTGCCTCGGGTGCCCAGTCGCTCGCTCGCTCGCTCGCTCGCACTCGGAAGTCTCACCTCAGGGGCAGCCGGCTGCCACGTCTGGGGGCCCTGCAGCCTGGGCCAGAGATACCGCCGCTCCACCCCCACCCCCAGGGGGGCCCTCATCCGCCCTGGCCAGGCGAGTGAGGGCAGAGAGCGCCCCTCTGGTGAACCTTCAGGTGACACGCGCCCCGACTCTGGGCCAGAGAACCCAGCGAGTCTGCACCCCGGGGCCTGAGGCACAGCACAGCACCTGCGGCTGGCCGGTCACTGGTCCCGCAGCTGGAGCCAGCGCAGGGCGGCCCAGGCCGGGGGAGCTTCCCACCATCTCCGGCTTGGCCCCCCCTGCGCCCCAGCACCTGCCCCTGCTGTCCGCGGGGTGCCGGGGCTGCCGCTGCGGAGACGCCCACCTGTTGTCGAAGAAGGCGCGGATGATCTTGGAGCGGATGGGGTTGAGCTCCAGGTCGGGGATGTTGTTGAAATTCTCCTTGCTGGGTCCCGAGGAGCAGCATCCGGGAAGAGAACGAGGACAGAAGGCATCAGGCCCGGCGCCCCACGCTCCCCGTGGCGATTTCACCCCGGGCCCATGCGGGCGACCGAGGCGCGAGACGACCAGACGTCCTGCGTGGTCTCTGCCCTGGCAGGAGGACCCGGAGGCGCTTACGTGGCTGACAGACACACGTGACGTCTGTCAGCCACGGCCTGGACTCTGCGACGCCCCCGGGGTCAAGCCCCCGGAGATACGGACACTGGCTCCTCGCCAGGCCAGAGGTGGCGTTGCCAGGTGACCGGTGAGGCGGCGCCCAGGTGCGTCCCCGGCAGTGGAGGAGGGCCCTCGACACCCCCGTGGCAGCCGGTAGCCGGAACGTGGCACATCCGTGCCACAGAATATTCCTCCCTTGAAGGAAGTGAAATAGGGGTGCGCTCTCCAGAACAGACGAGGTGGGGACCCCACGCCAGCGGAGATGCCTGGCTCCAGAGGCCGCTCCAGACACGGGCAGCGCTTCATCCCGGCAGACGCAAGGTCCTCCCGGGGCCACCAGGGCTGGGGAGGGGGGCAGGGGGACGGACAGCCCGCGGGTGGCGACTCTGGGGGTGCTGCGAATGCCCCAGCTTGCCTGATGCCAAGCACCCAGCTAGATGCGCCGAGAGCCGCGGGTCAAGCGCGTCAGAGGGCGGCTTACAGGGTGCTGCCTCGCACCGCAGCAAAACCGTTTAAAAAACCGCGCACGTGGGCGGGAGGGTGGGTCCCGACACGCCGCCCTGGGCCTGGGGCGCCGGCTGGGCCGGGGAGCCCCACAACAAGTCCTCCACCCCTCCACGCCTGCGGCCTCGGAAGTGGTGCGAGCTGGCCATCCTGGGTACACAGGGAGGCGCACCAGGTGGGGGGCTGCTCACCCGACCCGGCCCGGACCAGACCCGGCGCCCCAGAGCCAGCGGAGGGCCACGCAGGCTCGGGCTGGAAGGCCCAGAAACGCACGGCCAGCCCCCCCCCAGTCCTGCCCCCACTACCTGCAGATGGGGGCGCTGAGGCCCGGAGGGCAACCCCTGTGCCCAGGCCAGCCATGGGGGCCTCTGGCCAGACTCAGGGCCGGCCACGGGGGTGCGGAAGAATTAGAGCCCAGGGCCAGGCCAGGAGGCCGCGCTCAGAGCCGCCCGGGCCACAGCCAGGATTCGGCCACGAGGGGGGCGCAGAGGAGCCTCGGACACGCCCGTGGCTGCCGTGTCCAGAACAGCAGATGCAGCGGGACGGCCCCATGGGGGGGCGGCGCCTCGGAATGGGGGCCCATAGACCCGGGTGACTGGCGGGCATGCTAACACAGGCGCTGAAGGCCCCCGCATCTTAAAAGCCCAAATGACTACACTGTGGCTTCGTTACGTGGAGAACGGTCACCCGCGCAGCTCCAAGCCGATGGCGGCTGACAGCCTGGGGGCTGCTCTGGGCGTGGGGTCGGGGAGGACCCATCTGGGGGCTCCCTGTGACATCACGACCCCCCTTTTCCTCAGCAGAGGTCACGGAGGAAGTGACAGGGCACCCAGAAGGACACCAGTAAGAGGCTCGCAGGGGACAAGATGGAATTCCACAAATCCCGGCAGCAGCCAGCAGCTGCTCCAGCTCCACCCAGGGCAGGACCGGCCCCGCCCAGCCACCGACGCGCTCCGGCTGGGGCCCACGCAGCACCCCCACCCCACCTCCCAGGAGCAGGAAGCCTCCCAAGTTTCAGAGGCTGACTGAGAAGGGGGCCGGCACCTAGAGGGGCGCCGAGGGGCGGGAGGCGTCTGTCCGCCTGTCCGTCTGTCCGCAGGTGAAGCCCCGCGGGCATCGCCAGGGCACGGGGACTCCCGTGCGCTCCCAGGGGTGGGGTGCCACGTGCACGCGGGGTGCGCTCCGGCTGTCTGGTCCTGGGGACACTCCCAGATACCCGCCGACCTCCCTTTCCAACAGGGCGCCCGCCCGCCAGAGCGGCCCGCGCAGCCACGTGTTCATCACGCACCGCGGCCGAACGCCCTGAGGGCCGGTTTCGGCGCGGTTCCCCTCCTCCCTCCCCGCCGCCTCAGGTGCCCCCGGCTGGTTGGACCGGCTCAGGGACGGTGCTCAGCCAGGCCGCAGCCTTGGGACAGGCAGAGCTTTACCCGAGGCCCCAGTGCCCCTCGCTGGGGCCGAGCTGACTCATCTCACGGAGGCCACCGGCCCACGTGAGCGGCCACCCTCCTCCCAAGCTTTCTCGCCATTCTGCTACTTGCTTTGCAGGCGCAGCCACCCATGCGGGGTGACTCCGGTGAGCCTCATGCTGCAGGCAAGAAGACGAGGCCCAGAGAGGGCAAGCGACCAGGCCACAGTCACACAGCCAAGAGAGGCGCTGGGAAGCAGGCTGACCCCCGCCCCCACCCCGACTTCCTTCGGGTTGTATGCTTTTACTTTAGAGAGAACAAGAGACGTTTCTGGGGCATGTACTCCCGTCTGGACCTGAGAGGCCTCTCCTGGGACTCAGAAAGAGGGCAAGGCAAGCACCCAGCTCCAGAGAGGGACAGAAAGCCCGCGGTGCTGGTGGCAGTGGGGGTCTTCCTGGTTCAGCCCAAACTGAGTGTCTTGATGGGTTGTCTCTGGGCGCCCCCAAGCCAGCTCCTCAGCCTGCACAGCAGGCGGCTGGGCCCTGCCCTGGGAGGGAGGCCCTGGGCCTCCGGTGCAGGCCACCTGCCAGCCGTCCTCCCGGCGCTCACTGTTGAGCTCCGGATGTTCCCACACGGGCCGGGGACTCGGGAAGGAGCGCCTACACCCCGCGTCTCACTTAGCACGTCTTTCCAGGCAGCGCCCAGCTTCTCAAAGTGCGGTCCCTGGACCGGCAGCACCTGCACCACCAGGGAGCCTGAGAACCCCGAGTCCCGGCCGGCACACGTAAGAACCTGCGCCTTCCCGCCTCTCCTGGGAATGTGAGGATCATGCTGGAACCTCTTGGCTTCAAGCGCCAGGACTCGCTGGTCGCACCTGGCCATCGCTCTGCTTCCATATGCGTTTGCACAAAAGATTCTGACAGGAAAGCCTTGTCCCTGTGCCCCAAATAAATGCCTCTTTCAAAACTCGGGAACCCCATCACCCCTTCCCCAGCCTCCCCACCTCCCGCCCTAACGGCTGGCTCCCAGACTTGGCTTCCCGCCAGCACATGCTGGACGAGTGACAGCAGGATCGTGGAGCCATCACCCAGCCCCTGTGTGTCAGGCACAGCCCAGGCGCCGGCCTCAGCAGCAGGAGACAAACACCGTCTGCCTGCAGCGGGGCGGAGGGCGGGGGGCTCCCGCAGAGGCCGGGGAGGCAGCCCTCAGCCCCCCGCCCCCGCCTCAGGGGGAGACAGGTTTTGGTGTCACCAGAGTGGGGGTGCTACAGGCATCCAGTGGGTGGAGGCGGGGAGGCCGCTCAGCGGCCACCAGGGCACGGGCGACCCCACAGCCCCCGAGCCAAGGATCCCCCAGCCCCGAGCGCCAGCGGAAACCCTTTTCTGGGAAAAGCCTTCCGGAAAGAGGCATCGTGTGAGGTAGCACTGTCCGTGGAACAGCCGGGACATCCCCGCGGCAGGGCAGAACCAGGAGGGCCGAGGCCAGTGGGTCTGGGGCTCGCTTCTCCCCCCAGTCGGCCCCAGGGAGCGGCCCAGGGCGCAGCCCCGGGGGGCTCCCCAACCCCTCGGGAATCTGAGTGGACGGCCTCCGCGCTAGCGACTTCTCGGTCTCTCTCGTCTCTCGCCATTCACCCCCAGCCCCACTTCTCATTCAGCGTCCTCAGTGACTGAGCCTCCCTAGAACCCCCTTCACCACAGCTCTGTAAGCAAGGACTGGGCAGGAGACAGCCCAGAGAAGGCGCTTTGCTCCAGTGCCCCGCGGAGCGCGTCTGCCCCCCAGCCCGCCCCCTTCTGTGGGAGAGAGCCAGCGACGGGCGGCAGGTGGACGCCCCAGAGGGCCGTGGAGGAGCCTCCCATTCACAAGGCCAGGCAGGAGCTGGGGCAGGCCCGGCTGGGGACACCTGTGGGTCCAGCCGGAGGCCGCCCTGCCCTGCCGCGTCTCCCCCCGCCCCATCCTCTCCCTGGTCTGGCTCCATTTCAAGCCACCCTCGGGGCCCCGTGGAGTCTAAAAACAAGCCTGTGATGTGGCTGCATCTGCCCAGGTCGGCCACTGTGGCCAGCAAGTGGGGAGATGAAAATTGAAATCAATTTTAGCAGTTTTTGCCTTGCGGGAGTTTTTTTTTTCCCCCTGAATGGCCACTTCTGAGGGGCCTTTTGTGCTTGATATCCTTCCGCTCCCTGTGGGGCCCTAATAAGCCCTCTCTGAATGGGGGCCTCAAAGGGAGCTGCTTCCCACACCCCTCTGTCGTGGGCCAAAGCGTCCCTACATCCTGGACAGCTTTCAGGAACAGGCGTCAAAATACTGACAAAATTCATCCTTTTCCCTGCTCTGAGACCCTAGCGCAGGCCAGGGCCCCTTGGACACGCTGGGGGGCAGGGAAGTTGAAGACCCAACTTGGGGTCACACAAGGACCCCTTAAGAGAGCGGGGAAGGTGCTGGGGACCGTCCCCAGCCAGGGCTCTCATCCCTCTGCCCTGGGACCACGGGCAGCAAAGTGTGGGGACCAGAGAGCCGTGCCCCCCAGGCCCGGAGGCCAGCAGTCCCGGGCTGCTGGGCCCCTCCCACAGGCCTGCTTGCTTAGGCGCTGCGTCTGTCAGCTCCTTCCTGCAGGCCGCTCAGGCTGTGACCTCGCAGGCGACACCACCTCCCCAGCAGAGGCGGGGGGCTGGGGCAGGAGCTGCCTCCACCACGGGACCACACACCCCGCCCCGGCGCGGAAGGTGCTCGGAGGACAGACGGGAGACAGCGGCAGGTCGCCAGTGTCCAAGCTCCCCTCTGGCAGAACTCGGGCCCCAGCGCCTCGGCGCTGAGCGCTGAGCCCTGAGCCCGGCCACGGCTCCCTGGGCCTTGCTGTCCCCTCCCTAAAATGGGGAGAGCAGGTGTTCCCGCACACGCCCTGAGGCTAAGGCTCAAGTAACACGTGAGCCGCGCAGCCCAGCACACAAGCTCAGCAGTCGCCACGGAGAGCCGAGAGCGTCGACACCCCGGCCCAGGCCCGCTGCCGTGACTGAGCCACTCCGGCCCGCACACCCGCCCCTGACCTGCGACACCCACCTCACCCTCGACGGCTACTCTGACAGCATCTATTCTGCAGAGTCCAGGACTCAGTCCTAGGGCAGGAGGAGAAACAGACCCATGCAGGCGCCCCAGGGGTCCAGCAGCTCTGTCTGGAGATGTGGGGCGGGGCACCCCAGGCGGGGCCCGCGGAGTGTCCTGGAGGTGGTAGCCACAGTGAGACCTCAGCAAAGCAAAAGCCAGTACCGAGGACCTGGGGGCGGGGGGGGGGTGCAAGATAAAGCACTGGGCATGACCTGAGGGCACCCGGGAACCCCTGAGGGGGGCAGGGGCGGCGCTGGGAGCCAGAGGCCACTGTCCTCTAACGCTGCCGGGCGGAGTGCTGGAGCCCACGCAGGCAAGCAGGCAGGCAGAGGCTGGGGGGGGCCTGCAGCGCAGCAAATGGGGTCCCGGCGGGGGGGCAGAGGCCGGGGCGCACACTCCCAGGTCCCAGAGCACAATGAGGCGGGAGGGGGCCCGGCACGCTGCCCCCACCCAGCCACCCCTGGGCCCCTGGGGCACCGTCGTCAGTGCTGCACGAGGCCCGCCCGAGGGTGCCGGGCCCCACCCCAGACCTACGAACCAGAATCTCCTTTACAGGGTCCCCGGGTGGTCTGTGCGCTCACGTGACTGTTCTGGAGAAGCACAGGGGCCTTGAGAGCTGCTGGGGTGCCCACCACGTCGTGGGCAGGGTGGGGGTGCTGAGACAGATTTTCCAAAGAAATGCCATTTCGGCTAAGACCCAACAGATGTATCAGAGTGAGTCAGAGGGAGACTGGGGGCGGGTGGGGGGCGGGGGAGGTGGGAAGCTGCAGGCCCCTGGGGTGCGGAGGCGGTTTGAGACCTCTGAGGTCAGACCTGGGGAGCTGGGTGCTGGGGTCTGGACGCTGGAGCCCCTGACTAGAGGTGCAGGGCTCAGGCCCCAGCCAGACCTGCTGCAGCCAGGGTCCCGGGGGTCCGCACCCCCTCGCTGGACACGCACACTCGGAGGAGCACATGGTTGGCGCCAGTGTCCTGCCACAGCCCACAGCTAGCTCAGGCGCGAGACCCCCGTGGGCGGCCTCAGCGACACGCAGGCCCTCCGCACGCACACTCCGCTGCCCGCTCAGGTCAGCCGGCCGGGCCCGGAGGGCAGGTCCACTCAAGCCACAACCGGAAGGCCTGGACGCCAGCGCACACCGGCCACGGGCACCTGCTCGTCTTCAGGGCCCAGGTCAACTCCCAAATGACCGTGCTTGCCTTGTGGGTGAGCAGACAGGCTCAGAGACGCAAAGCAACTCATCTGAAGCCACACAGCCAGAGGTCAGATCTCGAATGCCACTCACTTGCCAGGTCTGGGCACGAGGCGCTCAGCGGGCCTGCTGGTCTTCCCACCCTGCATGCTCAGTCCAGGGCTCACCTGCCCACCTGGCCCTGACCTGTGGCTCAGCCCCAATGCCCCGCAGCTCTGGGAAAAACAACTTGCGTCTCGGCCGCAGGCCACGGCGACCGGCTAAGACTCAGGCCAGCGAGCCTCTCCGCGCCACCGAGAGCCCAGGTGGCGGGGTGCTGGGCTCAGCACCCACCTGCCTGGCTCCGTGAGCAGCGTCCGGAACGAAAGGGGTCAGACCCGGCTGGCTGGGTGCAGAGGGGAGCCGAGGCCACAGGACTGAGAGCCCGCTCGCACCCGAGCGGCGGGAGCAGGGGCATCGAGGCCACGGCTTTGTTGAGACACGGAGCGGGGCTCCTGGCGTGTCGCCCCAGTGACATCTCATGTCATCCTCCAGGTGAGCTGGCCGCACAGGAGGCCATTTTGCCCCGGACTATCAAAGGCTTTAAGACTTCCAAGGCTGTCACCTCGAGCCCCACGTGTTGGTTTCAGGGAGCCGAGGCCATCTCACCGCGACGCTCCTGGCCACAGCTCCGCGGCCTCGCCGGCTTCGTGAGGACTCCCGGGAGGGCGAGGCCAGGTCCGAAGCAGCTCAACCACCACCTGAGAGCGTCAGGCTCTCCGTAAGGGGGAGGGGGGGTTCCTCCCCCTCTAAAATATTAATGTCAGAAACACAAAGTGGAGCCCGCTGCCCACCACTGCCCGAGGCCGGAGCTGGCCGGCGGGTCCACAGAGGGCTTCAGACCACAGCCGAGCCCTGACCGACCCGGCAGCGGGCGTGGCTCTGGCATTCAACGGTGCGTCTGTGTCTGGGGCTCTGTCAGAGGCTTTGCAGGGGGCAGGGGCCAGCTTATGTAGAAGGGACTGAACAACTATGGCTTTGCCTGAGGCTACGGGGCAACCCACGGGCTCCACCCAGCACTCAGGGACAGAGATCAACAGGCTAACACATAAAAGTTTTTTTCTTAAAAGCCCAACGCAAAGCAATCTCGCAGGGCCCCCCCCCCCCCCCGGCCCGCCGACACCCACAGACAATGGCAGGCAGGTCTTACCGGATGGTGGGTTGGTCCCCGCTCAGCTGCTTAAACCGTCGGTGGAGCTGCTCGATCTGATCGGAGGAGACTGAGAAGCAAGGGAGGGGAAGAAGGAAAACAAGGCAGATGTCACAGACCGCTGAGCTGAGCAAGAAGCTACCAGAGGCCAGCTTCCCCTCCCCACCCGCCCAGTTCCTTTCACTCTCCAGTCAGGTCCCCCCACCCCAGGACTAAACGACCAAGGATTCCCAAGAGGGAGGCTTCTCAGTGCTCATTCCCGGGCTGAGGGCGGCTCCCAACCACGCGGGTGGGCCAGGTCGTTTCCCCTGCCCAGCCCACTTCTGAGGTCCCGCCTGCGTGTCCCGCGTCCTCCTCTCCCACTCCTGAAGACGGGCCTTTCCTAGCTGAGAAGAGGGTTTTGTGTCATCAGTTGTTAGGAGGCAGAGGGGTAGGGAAGCGTCAAGGTGGTCCAGGCAGATGTTCCAAGAGATTTGGGAAAAGTGTAGTGAGAAACCTGTGGAGAACGCGGTGGAACGGGACACACAAGGAAAGAAATGCCACTTTGACGGTGGATGACCCACGGCGGGTTTTTGAATAACGCCCTTTCCTTGAAATGTGGATGAGAATACAATCACACAATCCCAGCTGATGGTGGATGAAGTGACATTGTTCAAGGACTCGATTTCATTCTCTCTCTTGAAGCCACAGTTTCCAAGAACTTACTATGGGTTGATTCCTTAGAATTTTTAGAAAAAGTAAGTAGAGGAGGGAATTATTTATGATCATTTTTGGCTGACGGGTCATGTGTTACCCACAGCTAAGATCGGCCCTCGGGGGTTCCAGGTTCTACGAGGGTCCCGCCCATGTGTGAGCCCTTATTTTATGAAATGCACATTAAACACACATATGCGCTTCCTTACGTCACCCTCGAAGCCGCCCTATAAATTAAAAGGTTTTGTTCTGTTTTATGCTGGAAAACTGCAGCTCAGAGCACCGTGACCATGTAGCTGATGAGTCTGTCCCACACACGGGGCCTCTTCACCCAGAATATCCCGGGCTCAGGGGAGTTCACAGAGTTCAGGGAGAACTTTCCATGACCATGGAAAGTTCATGGCTGGGCGGGCTCTTTCCCACCACTGCCTCTCAGCTCTTCCCAGCCACGTGCTCCCGTTCTCCTCTTCCAGAGCAAGCTAATTTCTGGGGTCAGTTGGCCGCTTAAGTTCATGTTTTCTTATTTTCCTTTTGGTCTCAGGCCCAAAGACCTTGTTTAGGGTCCACTGCTCACAGCTCAGAATCCTCAAGTCTCCCCAGACGTTAGTGTCGGCTAGAAAAAAACTCATCGCGACTGCCAACCCCACCCGAGGGTGCTCTGTGTGAGGGGCGTGTGTCTCTGCACATTCGCTCACCTCCCAAAACACCCTGAAGGGTCTGCATGCCATGTTACAGATGTAGAAATTGGCACCTGCAAAGGCTAGGTAACTGCTCTATGGAGGAAGACATGGCCATTGATACCAGAGGTCTGTCTGCAGGGACATTCGTACACTCGGGGGCCTGACGGCTCCTTTCCTAGGCATGCGCCCAACAGGAATGCATACCGTACTCATCAGGTGATGTGCTGGAAGGGTGCCTTGGCCCGGTGGTTTGAATAGTTCTAAAATGGAAACTGCCCAAATGCCCGGTGATGCAGAACAAAATGTTAAAGTGTGTCACCGCACAGCCAGGAAAAGGAATAGTATACAGCAACGAAAATGAACCACCAGCATGTGCAGTAACCCGGGTAGGTGAATGTCAAAAACACAGTAAAACAAACAACAAAAAAAGAAGCCAGGCATGAGAGAGTTCTAATTTACGACTCCACTTACATAAGATCGAAAACCAGGCACAAATCATCTACAGCCAGACGTCAGGACAGAAAAGCTACACATTTGAGTCCAACTACTCACATTCTAGGAAAGGCAGAGTCACGGAGACAGTAACAAGACCAGAGGTTTCGGTGGCTGGGGGGTGAGGGATGAGCAAGTGCAACGGGGGCCGCGTACAGCCTCCGAGCCGCAGTATCGGCGAGGCTCATTATGCCTTTGTCCAAATCCACAGGATGCAAGCACCAAGAGTAAACCGTCATGTCAACTGCAGACTTAGATGATAATGTGTCAGAGTGCCCATCAGTTGTCACAAATGTCCCCAGTGGAGGAGACAGCACATGGGCAATCCATTCCTGCTTCTGAATGTCTCTGTCACCCTAACAGGGCTCTAAAAAATACAGTTCTCTTTTTAAAAACTGTCAGGGCAGTGGTGTCCTGGCTGAGGGGTAGTCATTCGAAAGGGGCAGGAGGGAGCGTCTGAGTATCGGGAGTGTTTTACTTCTTGATTCAGGTGCAGGGACACAGCTGTGTCCTGGGGCAGGTCATGGGCTCTGTGCTGATGGCCGACGCCCTCTTCAGGTGTGATGTTGAAGTGGAGAGTTTACTTGAAAAATCTAGTAATTCTACTTGGCAGGAATTTACCCTGGAAAAATGAATCCAACGGGTAGAAAAAGATTAAATAAATGTGTTCACGTCTGCATTCCTTAGAATTGCTTAGCAACTGCACAGGAGCCCACAGGCACAGGCTAAACACGCCGCAGAGCTCTTGACCAGTCAATTTTGTAAGCCGGCTGCCCGTGGGGCCTCCCTGGTGGTGGATGTGTAAAAGCGCAGCACTATGAAGCCAGCTGCAGCCGCGTCAGCACGAGTTTGATCCCCGGCCAGGGAGTGACCCACAGGGCGCGGCAGACCTCTCCGGTCTCCCCCGCTGCTCCCCTCAGCAGTGTACTGCGTCCATCTGCCTGTTCTGCTCCCGTCTCTGTCTCTGGTGAAGCCTCTCACCCTCCACACCTCTGGCCTGTGCCCCACTTCTGTTGGCATAAATAAAAAGTCTACTGCCTTTAAAAGTGACAGTTGTACTTCTGATATGAAAACACAGTCCACATGTTAGCATGGTCTGAAAACAGCTTGCTGCAAAAACAGCTCATGCCCATGTTGGGGAAAATATGTAACAGTCCACACACACTTATTTATAACACACATCAATATTTTATAAATATGCACATGCAGATCTACTTAAAAATGTATATAAGTAATGAAAGAGAATTAAATCTGCACTTTCCCACAAATCACAGTAGCCATCATCTCCCAATCCTGGGATAGAGACTTTGTTACTTTGATTCATCTGGATTTTCCCAACGCTCTCTCATGTGCGACGTGTATTTATTAGTCCTATAATGAATATTTTAAGGACACGACATGGCCCCAGATGGGACAGCTGAGGGATCTCAGAAGTATTGTCGCTGATGAATGGCGCGTTGGCCCACGCGCCGGACACACGTGTTCCCATGCACCCTGCCCTCCCAGGCGCGCGGACGAGCCGAGACTCGGGGACAGGCGGCTCCCCAGGCGACACTGCGCTCCAAGCCCCAGAATGTGAACCTGAGTGCGGGGCCGACCGTGGTGGCTTCATTTTGTTCTCACCAGCAGCCCGCACCGCCTCCATTCGGGCGATGAGCAGCGGTTTCTAGCTCTAACCCGAAGAAATGAAAAAGCACCACTGTTGAGAAAGGACCAGAAATGGCGGCCACACACGTCCTGAATCACCTGTGAGAGACGAGGGCCTTGGAGATGGAAGCGGCCTGTGGGCTGGGGGTGCTGCCGCTGGCAGCCCCGGAGGCTCCCCGGAGGCCCCCGGAGACGCTGGAGGGACACCCCTGCTCACAGGTGCTGAATGTCGTGGGTGGCAGGGCCATGAAGACGCTCTGTTCTAGACTCAGGTGGCCGCGACCCTGTGGTTGACGGGAAACTACCGGGCACGCTGGGGTGAGTGACACCCGGCGCGTGAGCCCCGGCGCCCGGAGCCGGGCAGTGTCAGTCTCACGCAGAGCCGGACGCCAGCAGCCACCCGCGCTCCGAGCCTCGCTGGCAGTCCCCTCGCCAATCCCGGCGGTGGGCAGGGTTCCAGCCCCATTCTGAGACTGGGACGCAGAGTTGCCCGAGGCCTGCGGCAATCACCCTGCACCAGGCTTCTCCCGTGAGGTTCCCGGCCGCCTGCACCCCCTGCGCACACCTGTCCTGCCTGAGTGAAGGCAGAGAGATTAGGAGCCAAGTGCGGCCCTGACGCCAGGTCCCCAGGGCCAAGACCCCCACGGACTCACACCCCCACAGAGGGTGCCGTTCCGGGCACCTGCTCCACTCACATACCCGGTATCTGCACCCGCGCAGGGCCCCCC